ATCAATTTGATATCTTTGTTCGGGGCCGAAATATTTAAGAAAATCAAGAGGTAAATCTTTCTGCCCCACCCTGTAATACGTGCCGACATTTAGCAATACGAATTGACATCCAGCATCAATCTACCGTTTTCATAAACGTATTGCCTAAACATCATGCATAGGCACAAGACCTATGGTTGCCTCGATACCTACCGTGCCAAATCACGTTTTGCACAATGCACAAGTAAAGTAAATTACGTGTATTCAGCACAATGAATGAAGTATTTAAGTAATTGACAGAACCAAAGCAGAGTCGAGAATGTTCAGATCGTTCGCAGCGGTTCTGGAGCAGCGCCGTGGTAAATTATATTCGTAAATTATATAAGTAAATTATATTCGCTGGGTCTTCCGTGCATTGTGCCTAGCAAAAACAGGAATGCAATTGTTACGCGACGCAAAATGTGCAATGCAGCAAGTGACCACACACACCCGCCCAGCCCCCATGGTCCACCAACACGCCCCACACCACTCGCCAGCCCACGCCAACCACCGAGACGAGCCCCTCCCACCCGCGCTGCTCTGACGCAACAGCTGGTCTACAAAGCGCTCCACCCGGCGACCCGAGCCGATGTCAAACGGCGTGGGTAGACTGTGCCGCTTCACTCTCGGGTCATGCGGCACAGCCTACCGGTACCAGGCGGCTGCTGCCAATGCTGAGCCATAGGAACCCGGTGGATAAAGAGTAGGGGACCATCAACCTGTACACGACTGTACCTACCTTATATACAGTTAGGTATACCTACAGTTTATACCTACCTCACGAGCGTTCATTGCTACGTGGCCGGAAGCCGACAGGCGACAGCCGAGTTTAACGGAAGTTTAACCCGCGCCCCGCTGGGGTCTGTGTATAACACGCCCTACTGGGGGGGGGCTATTCATAGCCCCCTCCTAACTCCGAAACTACTGGGCCGATCGTCAAAATTCAAACGGCGTCTGATAGCCCCGGAAAAACTGTCGAACGAAACCTAATTTCATTGACCTCGAGGTCACCGATGACGTCACAGGTCAGGTCAAAGTAAAAATTATTAGCATTTTGGCTTGTTCACATTTTGGGCTCTGGCCGCCGTCTTACAAGTCAGATCAGGCTCATTTTTGGTTTCCACACTCGTGAACAGATGCTCTAGATACCTTGAGGGTACCAAACTTGTACTTTGATTTTCAGGTCAGGGTCAGGTCATCACAGGTCACGGAAATATTATATCATGCGTCGGTCACGTGACACATGTTTTATGGTCCATTTAGGCCATAGACTTCGAATTTGATGTCGTCTCATCTCATCTCATCTCATCTGTATTTCACATATGTGCAACATATATAGGCATGACGAACGTCCTGGGATTGGTGCACAGCCCAAATGTCTGGGCTATGTCTAGGCACCTCTCCCGGTCAGCCGAACCAAGCCACCGCCGACAACAGCGCCGCCCCGCACGACCCTACCCGACAAAAAGCGCAGTTCGTCTGTGTCATTCGAGGTCATTTCGAGTCGAATTTAGCTTAGGTCAGGTCACTTTCAGGTCAAAAAAGGTCAAATTTTTAAGTTAAAATTTTTCAACAAAAAAAGGTGTCTATTGGATGCAGTTTGAGCTCAGGAACACGATGGTACCATTTATATTGGTGTACGATGTCAAATACGTACTGAAAAATTGATTTGAAAAATTAATAATTGTGAATTTTTTTGCAATAATGTGTATAACTTGGCCATTTTTGGAGATATTTAGCTAAAACTTGCTAGAGTTAGTCATAATCATGCGTTCTGTCACATATATTTCGGCTTTTTCGAAAAGTCAAAAACTTTTTGAAAAAAATATGAAAATATAAATTTTGAATATCATTATATAAAATTTTCGAAATTTTCAAAATTTTGAAAATCCGAGATAGCAGTTTGATAGCGCGGTCAATTCTGAGTCCTTTCATGCAAAGAAATTGGATCTAGCTTAAAAACTGAGCTCTTGGGAGCGATTGCCGTGGTTCAATGTTTTGCGTCGAAATCGGACGAACATGACGTCACTCTGACGTCATTTCCGGCCGACCTATGGTAGCTACGAAGTTCAAATTTGGACACAAGGTGTCAAATTGATGCAGTCGAAGGTACTGAACGTTTGGCGTCGATCCGTCAACCGGTTTGGAAGTTATTGCAGAAAAACGGGAGGGGGGCTATAAATAGCCCTCCCCCAGTGGGGCGCGGGTTAAACTCCTATAGGAGTTAAGACTTTGAACAGCTCTACATCGCATTCCACATTCCACATTTGGTAACCGGACAAAAGATCGTAAAGCAGAAGATCGTATGGCAGAAGATCGTAGGCAGTTGATCGTATGCAAAATACCGTAATGGATAAAGATCGTACGACATAATGCTCGTATGGACAAAAGATCGTATTCGCTAAAGATCGTCAAGGAAAATGATCGTATGCCAAAAAGTCGTAATGGATAAAGATCGTACGACATAATGATCGTATGGACAAAAGATCGTATTCGCTAAAGTTCGTCAAGGAAAATGATCGTATGCCAAAAAGTCGTAATGGATAAAGATCGTACGACATAATGCTCGTATGGACAAAAGATCGTATTCGCTAAAGATCGTCAAGGAAAATGATCGTACGCCAAATGATCGTATGAGATAAAGATCGTACAGTCAAAATATGGTATTTACATGGTGCAGGCCAACTCCAGCGCATACAAAGCTTATCAATTTCTGTGTTCGCGTAGTAAGTGGCCGTCGTAAGCTTGACCATACATTGATGTTATTTCAGAGCTTAGATGGCTCAATGACACCTAAAAGCAACGCGTTGTATATGTGCCGAATAAATGAATGTATGTGCTGCCGTTTTCATGTACCTATTTGAAGTGAATACAACTAAAGCCATGTCCCCCCCCCCCCACCCCCCACCGCCTGGAAGGTTAAAATGTTGCTTAAGCGGCTGAAGTAAACGGCGTTAAAAGTACTTTTTCCTTCGCACTGTTACATTTTCATATTGAATCGTCATCGCTTTACGAGTCATCAACAGATGTTTATCGCGTTATCACTATCGAAGTCGCAATTCTCCTAGTTATAGGATCCTAGTTTCAATCCAATCCTATAATAGTTATAGGAGTCATTGTTATCGAAGGCCGGTTAAAGATGTCAATTGTCCATCATTGGTTCGAAATCGCCCCAGTAATTACCGAGTTACGGAAATGGGAACAAATTTGGCACCAGACCTTGGCCTTTTCAACAAAAAAAGAAAATATTTGCAAAAAAAGTGAGGTATTCCGTCTCATTTGAGTGAAGAAACTACCGTTTTGGCAACCTGGAATAAAGGTTTGAATCTGCCAAATGAGTTGCCGAGCCAGTGAGAGAGGTGGATTTTTCACTTACATGCTTTCTTCCTTTGTGACCCACAACCCCTAATTTGGGGAGGACAAGCTGCCCAACGGTTCCTGGCCTCATGACAAGTTGTGGGGCACCACCCCCACGGCCGCAGAGTTGTGGGGGCAACCTTCCCCCACTGCCCCCTCCCCCGATTCCCGCGCCTTTGTATGAATCTATGAAATTATGTTGGTAGATTTCCGATTTCGATTCCTCCAGCATTGGGGGTCACTCACATAGATCAAGGGTAGGTATCCGACCTTTGGTAGAAGGGATGCAGCTACCCTATAAAAATTACCGCAAGACAATCGCTCAAGCCGCTGCTGAGATACGGGCCTCTCAAAATCATTACTTTTGCAAAACTGCTTGAACACCCTTGACTTCTCACGTGGCACGTGCCACGACGGCCACTGAGATGTATCAAAAGTAGTCAATTACGGGGAAGAAGGGATGGGGCTACCCAGCCAAAAAGACCTCGGGCCAATCGGTTCAGCGGTTGCTGAGACATAAGCCTCTCAAAAGCGTTACCGGCCGGGCCGGGCCGGGCCGCTCATACTGAGATTTTCCCGTTATATTCAAAAGACTTCGCTTCGCTCGCTGCGCTCGCTCGCTCGTAACAACACTATTCTATACGATTATTTACTTTACGAACGTAACGTTACGATCTTTTGTCGAACGATCTTTTACAACATACGATCTTTATCTTACGATCATTTTCCTACGATCTTTTTTGTACGATCCATTGCTTTACGATCTTTTGCTTACGATCCTTGGTCGTACGATCTTTTGCGACATACGATATTTATCTTACGATCATTTTCCTACGATCTTTTTCATACGATCAATTGCTTTACGATCTTTTGCTTACGATCTTTTTGTCGTACGATCTTTTACAACATACGATCTTTATCTTACGATCATTTTCGTACGATCTTTTGCATACGATCAATTGCTTTACGATCTTTTGCTTACGATCTTTTTACCGTACGATCTTTTACAACATACGATCTTTATCTTACGATCATTTTCGTACGATCTTTTTCCATACGATCTTTTGTCTTACGATCTTTTGTCACGTAATCCCACATTTCGACATCACGGTGACATCACACGCCACTCCTGTAGCGTCATCTACGCTAAAATGCAAGCAATAGTGTGTGCCATCCACTATAGGTGTCGCAATTCTGCATGACTGCACAGTGCACGTCGCTTCAGTACGGACATCTAGCGGAGGCTACACGCAACAGCTAACATTTTGTACTTCTTGGACGAAGCATGGCGGATGAACGTCGATGATAAGGAAGAGTTGCGATCACCCAAATCCTGAAATTCATTGCATTTTTTATTTCAAGAATAGTTTCTCTCTGCATTAGCAGGTAAATATGTAAACTGTATACAGTTTGATAGGCGAAAGTCACGGGCGTTCGATGGTATTAAAGATGCAAATATCGATGTCAAGATCTCACGTAAAAGTGGAAAAGAAGGATATTTCAAGGACAAACGGTGAGGAAGTCAGGAAATAAATAGTGTAATAATCCAAGAGGGTGTAAAACACCGTTAAATTACAATACACGTGAGGTAAAACTTTTCATGAAAAACAGACGGTAGCTGAATATGCATCACTACTTCGCAGCTGAGCCGAAAGACAAGGGAGACGTGTCACGAAAGTGGCGAATTGGGTTTTCACGCTAATTTTGCCCTAAATTTTTACCCATTTTCGTTGTGACCAGTGACATATCTTTACCGGTTTTCCTTGGATTACTACTTCAACTTGGTAATGATATAACGTTTTACTCTACATCGCCTTGAAATACTGTAAAATATCTGTTGTTTTGTGCGCCATTATTTGTATTAAGAAATGTGAAGTAGAAGTGTATAAAATTTGGATTTTATTTTGTGTGTGTTATTGTGTTTTACATGGTTTACCTTTAATAATCTTTCCAACGTGCTGCTTATGGTTTCAGTTTTCACATTGCCTAATGATTTCGCCTGAATTACACTCCATTTTCCTTCTTGTGCAGACTGTGCGGTACAGCATTAGGGCCAGTGACAATTAGCTAGTGAACCTTGGGGATGAATCTACCAGGCTGGAAATATGCACTAGCAAGTTTCTGAATGACTAACAAGGCTGTTGAACAATGTGGATTATGTAATTTTGTGGATTATTTTGATTTCACTTGAAGTAGGTACCTATGCTCCATTTTCCTTCTTGTGCAGACTGTGCGGCACAGCATTAGAGCCAGTGACAATTAGCTAGTGAACCTTGGGGATGAATCTACCAGGCTGGAAATATGCACTAACCAGTTTCTGAATGACTAACAAGGCTGTTGAACAATGTGGATTATTTAATTTTGTAAACTTGCATTTGTAGCTACTAGTTTCAAGGCAAAATATGCAATACAAAGATTTGCATCATGGGTGAAATGAACCAGTGCTCAAGAAGTTTAGCTGTCTAGAAATATTTACATATAATTTGTTAGTGTTTTATAAGTAAAATGGGCAATTCTCTGCACCTTTAAAATTAATTATTTTAAAAGTGCTAGATATTGAGTGTGTTAAGCTTCATTGTAACTGGCTCAAGGTTTGATTACCTGGTTGCTGGCAGCTGGATAGTTTCTGTCACTAGAAAAATGGCACTAGGTGTCTAATGAATTCACTTCCAGCAAAATTAAGCAGAGGGAATGAAAAATTAAGGTGATTGATAAAGCCAATACTCCATTGCCAAACTGCGAATTGTTTCAATTTTAATTTTGAGCTGTCAAGCAGGCAAGCAGCATTTATGTGTATTTGGGAGGAGGCGATCCCATCAGTCAGCTTATGCGAAGCATTGTGGCTCATATATTTTTCATCATGTGGTTAGTTGTGGGGATTTAACATTAATTGATGTGGGTAATGCTTGTTGCTGTGCTGAAACTGTGGCACTGTGTGCATGATGATGAACAAGAAACACAGCAGGCTGGCTGATTGAGCAATCTGAGATGAGTCAGTCTCCCAAATTTGTAGGCATGGGCCCAGTGTCCCAAAATTATATGGGCCAGAGTCCCACCATTATATGTCAACTCAAGTGTCAGAGAGGAAAATTCCTCACTATAAATGGGATGAGAATGGAAAATTGTCAAATTAAGCCCAGAGAATACCTAAAAAATACTTAATATTTATTCAGCCAGTGAATGGATATTATTGGAACCACAGAAAAAGAGTTAAGGATGAAAGCGATTCAGACCAAACCTACATGCATCAGTGGTCTTTCTGAATAAAATTGTGAATGAAAAATTGTCTTGAAAATTGGGGCTGAGAGTGAAAAAATATTTTCTCTGAAAGATTGCTGACTTTTAAGTTCTGTGTTAAAAAATTCCAAGCCTTATTTGATGATAGTTTGTACAGAAGTGTGTGAATGGTGGGGTGTGGACTGTGGCTTGTCAGCTTTGCTGTTAGTTGTCATGCTTTGCGGCCTGGTGTTAATGCTCACTCCAGCCTGTCATTCTCTTCCTCTTAATTACACACCGAACGATCCCTGGGTTGCTCTGTCCCTTGTGTAATTTCTCACACAGGGACAGAGGCACACAGCTCTGTGCCTCTGTCCCTGTGTGTGTTTTTAAATGTAATTTCTTTGTCCTTCTGCCACTGTTGTGTGTAGCTGTGCCCTCTAACGGAGCCCCTGCGCTGATTTGTTCTCTGACGGATCCCTTTCCCCCAATGCTCTCATGTCGCTACTGTGTCTCTCTGTTCTCACGGAGTCTCTCTGCTCCCATTTGCAGCAGTCGCGCACAGCCCGGGCAGCGGTGTCGGGAGCGGCCATGGCCAGCCGGGCAGGATCAGCACAGCGGCCCAACGGCGGACAGCAGGGCAAGATCTGCCAGTTCAAGCTGGTGCTGCTCGGAGAGTCGGCCGTCGGAAAGTCGAGCTTGGTGTTGCGCTTCGTCAAAGGACAGTTCCATGAATTCCAGGAGAGCACAATCGGAGGTGAGCTTGCCGCTAATCTACTTGCCGCTTATTTCCGGACTGGGGGACGCCCGGTTTTGGGGCGGTTCCGGTTGCACCGCTTGGTGACTCCGCACTGCACCGGCAGGGACACCGCTAACGCCCTCGGACGCGGAGTCGACGCGAGGTCGGTCATTATATAACGGGTACAATTATCTGATGTCTCAAGGAGGATCAGAGATACGCTTGCTTAGATAGCTGTTCATATTTTCAGCGTCATCTAGGCTGGATATTATTCTTTTGGAGCAATAAGGAAATGTGTTGTAATCGTCATCAGCTGTCTTCCTTTCTTCCTTCCTTTCTTTGTCGCTTCCTTCCCCTTTCCTTGCCTGCTTGCTTTCTTGCAGCTCTCATTGCTTCCTCTTTGCCTCCTTCCCTGCTTCCTTTAGTACCTACCCCATGCTACCTTCATTTTGTCCTTTTTTTCCTTCCTCCCCGCTTTGTTGTAATCCCTGTGCTTTTTTACTCGCTTGTTTTCTTTTTTCTTGTCGGTCTTTTTTCGCATTTTTATGGTTAAGGTATTGACTTTTTCTTTCGTCACGTTTCTATTCATAAGTTCATTAATTCGTGTACCTCCTACTGCCGTATGGACTGTGGAAGTCGTCACAAGTCGTCCCCTTTTTCTTTACACCGGGAGACTGGGTCTGATGGTGCTCGGTGTACCCCTCCTCCCGTCCCTCATCCCATGCAGCCCCTCTGACACAGCTGCTCTCTCCGACAGCCGCCTTCTTGACACAGACTGTATGTCTGGACGAGACGACGGTGAAGTTTGAGATCTGGGACACCGCAGGCCAGGAGCGGTACCACAGCCTGGCGCCTATGTACTACCGCGGCGCGCAGGCCGCCATTGTCGTCTACGATATTCAGAGTCAGGTAGGTGCCATGAAAGGGAGTAGGGTCTTTAGGGATGGGGAGAGGAGTGGTCTGTACGTCTGGTTTCTGTGGGGTGGAGTGCTCCGGGGTCCAGCGATGGGTCTTCTTCAGAGAATGCACCTGATAAAAAATGATGGGCCACAGGGGCCAGAGTAAGCCATAGGGTTTGTGATCTTATTCAACCACTGATAGTTTTATATTATCATTGTTTCCTGGCTGGGATCAGAATAGAAGTTCAGCAAGCAGCAGTTCACTTCAGCCAAGGTGGCTAATGGGTGCCGATGTCCATCCAGTAATGGGCGAAATGTCTCCAGAAGTGGGGACTCTCGTGTCCACTTTGTTAAGCACGGGTAAGAAGTGGCCTTCAGATCGTTATCATATCGTCACGCGCGCGACCATTGTCTGTGGAGCCGGGGTCGGCGTCACGAGAGAGATGTTTGCGTGACGCTGACCGCAGTGGAAGTCACGGCTGTTATATACTGAACTGGGAAGGGGAAGTGTATGGCGGGCTCCGGATTGTGTGGCACTTTGCAGCCTGGGTCGGAGCGGAGGTGAGAGGAGGCAGTTAGCTCGGTGGCGAGTGGGCTGAGGCGCACACCAGCCCGACGTATCTCGGTGGAATGTATTTACTGTGGATGAACAGAGTTCACGGAGTGATGAGCTGAGAGGTTAGGAGATCCCCCTTTTGAAGAGGTTTGGAGATTGACGGGGATGACGTGGATCAGGCATGGTAGGTAAGGTAGTGACCGGAGACAAAATTTAGTCCCCATTTTGGTCGTGATAGTGTTTCTGACAAGGAAACGTCATTCCGTTCGTTTGATCGTCGGTGATTGGCTAGTGTCATCCTACACCGCTGAACCGGACGTGCTCATATTGGAGATCGGTTGTGCTCAGACTTCCTTCCTTTGTTAGTCAAGCTTCGCTAAGATATCGGAAGCGATAAGAAAGTGACGTGTATCATTGCTCACGGATCGAACACCGGAAAGTGATTTCCTTTGGCAGCTCCCGCGGCAACTAGTCGAGATGTTTTACTGACGGCATTGTTTAAATCGACCTTTCCGTTTCGCTATCGGTTGACTCACCCCCCAGTGAAGTACCTACCCACCTCAGCCGCCCGGCCGCTGTCGGTTCCGTGTTGAATGGTGTCTCTCTGGCCGATAGAACAACCGACTCACGTTGTTTGTCTCGGTCACATTGGCTAACATCGATAGGGAACTACCTCAGCCGTGAGAGGTGCCCGATACCGACCGTATGTCCGCTCGTTGAATCTCAGTCCGTACGGGGAAATGTTTGGAGTGATAGAGTCGTCGTGCTGCTCAATATCGCGAGGGAGCGTTATGACTATTATATCTTTTATCTAACCGTTTCTGAGATGGAAAGGAAGTGATAGGTAACAAACCGATGGTATCGTGGTGGACTGTCGAAATGTTACGCCTAATTTTGGGAATGTTAGCGTAATTAGAAATGTAAAGTCTGCTTGAAAATGCCGATCGTGGCCGCTGGATAGCACTTTGAAGTCCTGTGATCGCTGGGTTATGTTTATGCTTTGTTTAGTGAGTTCGAAGGAGCTTGTGTATCGGAACGCTGCGCTGCAAGATAGCGTTGATTGGCCCTTCAACCCGGAGTGTTCGTCTTGTAACTGATACAGGTTTTATAGGTCAGTTTGATAGCTCTTGTTAAATACTGGTAACCAGGCTTTATATAAAAGAATCAGATTTTTCATTCCGCAACTAAAATGATATTTTCTCTCAATTGCGGACTATCTTTTTTGGAGCAACATTTGACTGGATCTAAGTTTGCCACTTTCTGAGTGCAGTGACGTAGCTTACTGTACCGAACTCACTCATTGCTGAGCTGTCGGTCAATAAGTAGGCTGAGTTGTCAGTGAGAGCTGTCAGTTTTGCGTGTCTTGCGGCCGTTCGTCATGGTCCATAGTCGTGCGTCAGCTCTGCGGCACCTCCAGCCCGGCACGCGCCGTCGGCGTCCGGTGACGTCATCGTGACGTCACGGCACTGGTCGGGCTCTGCCGTCCGCCTGACGCGCCCGCCCGTATCTCGGGGCTTCGCCGGCGTTGTGACGCCAGTGTGACGTCATCAGTAGCCGAGCAGGCGGTGCGACAAAGTCTGGTTCAGTTCTGGGGTTTCTCAAGTAATGTCATTATGTGTCACCGGCACTGCCTTATTTGGTGTCGGGAGAGGAAAATGATTCACCCGCTGCTGTTGGAGGAATTTTGCGGGAATGTGCGGGTCCGCTGTGACGTTCATTGTCCGACTTGAAATATGTGTACTTTTTATGTTCAACTATGGGTTGGTTGATGACAGGTGTAAATTTAGCAAGGTTCAGATATACAGTACGTTCAGCAATGTATTTTAATCGATATTACTATTTACTTACGCCGGATTCGAATTTGCTGCCTTTTCAAAGCCATTAGAATGAGAATCGTGATCTATTGTAAGCATCATCAGCTGATATTTGTAAGATTGTATTTTTGGTTAGAGTAATTAGTCCCACCGTGCCTTGGTCTACTTACTGCTGGCTCTGGCCGTGGGAGCCTGTCCGGACTGTGCCGCCGTTGATCCGTATATCAGCCGCATCCTGACAATCGGATCACGCTCTGCTGACGGGTGCGGTGGGAAGGGGGGGGGCAGGTAGGGAGTGATGACGTACCGGTGGCCGTCACCGAGGGACAGTCAGCATGCTGAGAGCATGACTTCATCCCCTAGCCCCTCCCATCGTCCCTTGTTCCCCATCCCACATATCATAACCCCTTTTTGTTCCCGACCCCTCCCTCCCTCTCTCTCTCTCTCTCTCTCTCTCTCTCTCTCTCTCTCTCTCTCTCTCTCTCTCTCTCTCTCTCTCTCTCTCTCTCTCTCTCTCTCTCTCTCTCTCTCTCTTCCGACACCCTGACCCCATATCTGACCCGCCCCTACCTTTTCACCTCCGCAGGACACATTCGCGCGCGCCAAGACGTGGGTAAAAGAGCTGCAGCGTCAGGCCTCACCCAACATCGTCATCGCGCTGGCCGGCAACAAGGCTGACCTGGCCAACAAGCGGATGGTGGAGTATGAGGAAGCGCAGGCGTACGCAGAGGACAACGGCCTGCTCTTCATGGAGACCTCAGCCAAGACGGCCATGAACGTCAATGAGATATTCCTAGCCATAGGTAAGCGACAGGGAGAGGTACGAAATTTTGGGGAGAAGCAGGGTGGCTGGAAGACGGCTGAGGCGTGATGACTAATGTGATGTTGAGCTGAGAGTTGTTAAAGGTTTGTTTCTGCCGGACTTTTTGGCATAGGTTTTTTATTGTGCTCTCCTATACTATCTCCCTCGTCTCCTTTTTCTCTTCCTCTTCCTCTTCCTGTCTCGATTCCTCTACCTCCATCCTGCTTCCATCGCCTATCTCCCGTTCCTATGTGTCATATCATCTGACCGTTGTATCCGCGCGCACCCCGCAGCCAAGAAGCTGCCGAAGAGCGAGCCGGGCGGCGGCGCGGCGGGCGCCGGCAGCGGCCGCACGCTCTCCGATGGTGACGGCGACCCGCGCGCCTCGGCCGGCTGCTGCAACAAGTGATAGCCGCCGCCGGCCGACACGGCGAGATGGTGCACGGACGGGACGGCCGCCGACCGACTCGGTGAGTAGCCAGTGGGGTACGCAGGGGTGCGTTGTCGGTGGGGCATGGGTGTAGCGTGTGAGTAACGAAGTATATAGCTTGATGATTGATGTGGTGAATGGGTTTTCGATCATTTGTGTGTAAATGTACGTTCTGTGCTTGACTCGCTTCCGCTATATCAGCCGTCTATATCAGCTCGCTGATTGTCGATTTTGTGTGTGTAAGGAATTACCTAGTTTCTTTTTAATGAGTGCTAGGGCATATCTAGGGGCAAAACAGTACATTTTACTTTAGCTAGCTTGGTCTCTGGTGCGAGCGCAATCACTTTTTTTAGAGCGTCAGCAACTACCCCTGTAAACGTTCGCTCTTGACAGACGCTTTGGACATGCTGATTGCTGATTGAACCCCTTACCCGCCCATACACAAAGCACACACGCGCCGCTCGCTTCCACACATGCACGCACCCGTAACCGCTCACGCTCTTTCGTGCGGCGCCCCTGACGGTTCGCCGCAGTTCGCCCAGCGTGGCGGTGCCGTGCCGGGCGTAGCGGCGTACCCGTGCGACGTGCTCGCTCATCTGGGGACGTCATCGATCGTGTACCCCCCCCCCCTCCACCCCCCTCCCCAGATGTGGTGGCACGTGTGTGGTGTGACGTGATGCTGTGTGAACTTGAACTCGAGCCGGGCGGGGCCCCTGAAACTGGTAGCTGTTCGACTGTTTTGTTCGAGTTGTTTTGCAGAGGGGTAAGGGTAGCCTAGATTGAGCCCGGGATCTCCGCTTTACGATGGTTCTTCCCCGTGTAGAAGTGCATGAGTTCGTGAATTTGCGATAACACAGCCAGATTGGTCGGGTTTTACGAGCGTGTCAGGCTGTGCCGGTCGAGTGGTTGGTACGGCACCACGTCTGGTGTCTGTCGGCCCCGCGGCCTCCCGGAATCAGCCAGCCGGGCCGAGCAGCTTGAGTGAGCGGCCTCGGTTAGTTGTTTATGGATACGGCTGCTCACCGCTCAGTCAGGCAGCTACTGATTCTGAGCACGGCTCGATCCGTCCAGCTGGTGAGGCGGAGCGCAGGCCATCAGATTCATTGTTAGCGTGCGATGTTGCCAGGCAAGGTTACCGTGACCTGTAGTCTAGTGGCAGTGGTCGGGGTCAGGCACTGCTGCAGTTATTGACTCCACCGGTCACTGCAGTCGTTTGGTGGTTCCGATAGTGAAATTGATCAGACTTTGCAGCCTATTGGCATGCAACCAATGCGTGCTGGGGTTTCGTTGTTCGGTATGTAATGTGCTATAACAGCAGTAGTAGAGTTATGCATGTAGACATACCGTCCGATATCCAACGTTCCCCTTGTCTGGTACCGTCCGATGCATTATGTTTCAGTTCTGTCAACCACCTACTGCCCCTCTCCCGTTCCTTGTCTGGTGCCGCCGCTTTGGGTCGGCTGCGTTAGCATGGTGCCGTGCAGGCTGGTGTCGCAGCCCTTATTGTACCGTCTGTTGATTGTTTTAGTTTGTTTTTACGTCCCCTTCTGTCCGTTACCGTCTGTTGTATGTGCGTCTGTATGCCTCGGTGCCATCGACAGGCGGTCCGAGCCCCACTGTGGATCGTTGACCCCCGGATATCGTGATTTCCGGTGTGTTTCGGCGGCTGGCACTGCCGGACGCTCGGTGTCGCTGTGTCGCTGAGTGACCTTCGGACCCGACTCAACCCGAGCCAGCCTGCGGCAGGCCGCGAATTTATACGGACGAGCCCCCAGTACCGGTTGTGATTTCGGACACGCCCGCCTTATCGATGATCGGGGGCTATTGGAAAACAGCGACGGCCGCAATGACCCGGGTTATTGATACGTCGCCCATCGCCCCACCTAGGGTGGCACTTAATTTCGACTTTTTTAATTTCGACCGGGACGGGTAGCCATATTGTTCTACCTCACGAAAAAATGATCTGCATGAAATTTTATCAAAAAATATTTTATATTTAGAGGTAGCTCAATGGGGTCATACTTGATACATATTGAGAAAACGTATATTGTGAACGGGGATTCAGATGTGTGTCGCGCCATTCCAAGCATTGTCATATTTGAGCTGTAATACGTTTAAATGAATGATAGATGCCTTTCTATTTGTTTCATAACCACAGTGTTTCTCGCCGCAAACGCGCTGTGACGCAATGCGTGATTCAACCAATGGCCGTTCAGCGTAGTTAGCTTATTTTGTTCGGTGACGGTAGCCCGCTGCCAGGCGTGCAACCTCAGCTCTTCTCTCGTATTACGATGGTTGGGAAGGGTCACGAGACTGCTGGCACTTACCGGGGTTACATGAGCAAATAAATGCGTATCAGGAATGGTTTTTCTTTGCTGAGTATTGTGATCCGTTTGTAATACGCATTTACTCTGCTGATGTATCCCCGGTTACTGATGCGCAGGGGGACACTGCCAGTGTACGGCAACAGGGCAGGTCTCCGTGTCTTCGTGATGTCAGGGAGAAGACGTGCACGTGAAAAAGATAAGTTGACTGTTTTGCTAAGCCTTTTCAGAACATTTTTCGCTAGCCAGGCTCAAATTGACAGGCCACAGCAAACGCTGTTCAAGAATCCCTCGATAAGTGAGAGTTGAATGATTGAGTGAAAGCGCTCAGTTTTGACACAAGTGCATCGAACACCGGTCTCAATGCAGGAGCCTGCACGATCATCAAGCAGCGGCTTGAGCAGGACTTGCTCCACCTGACTTGCCACGACATTTACGAGTTTGTTCTATAAAGACATTTTCAGCCTGCCTCGGCTCGTCCAGCGGCCCAGACGTTTTGTTTAAGCGCTTCCATAAAAGTGGGCATCTAGATAGAACGAAGCCACAAACCTTCAAAAACTGTGACATGTCCCACCTCCACAACCCGCGTGATGCTCTTGCACAGTTCCGTCGTACCGTGAGATGCTGGAGCTGGCCATCACTGTCCTCGATGGTGCTCCGAAACGAGGTATGAAGATCGCTCGCCTCGATATGCTCCTTGTGTGCTGGTTGACCAATGCCATTTACGCTATGAAGTTTTACCTCTTCCGAGCACAATCCCGGCTCACTACGTCTAAGAAGAAGAGCCTCCAACAAATCGTGACCTTTGTGGGAACAACGTAGTTTTCGGCTCGATTCAATGCACCGCTTCTGGCGTCTGCACCAGCGCAAGATTTCGACTTCCTCAAGTCCCTCCTGGAGTACGAATTGGACGAATTGGTGTTCGAATTGGTGTCCAAGACGATAGCCATTGCCTTCAGCCGTCACCTCTGGTATCTAAATAAGAGGCTGGTCGCCCTCAACTTCTAATGAAGGAGATAACGATCGCTGCTACTAAACGTGAGATGGCTGCATCGTTACGAGAGAAGGAGAGGGCCGAGTAACCCTCTCCCCCCCCCCCCCCGTCGAGCCCACGTTGAACTTACTATAGCTTCAGTCTCTAGCAAGTCCACGGCAGACTTCGTCATATCACAACTGGCTTCACAAGCTTCTTCAGCATCCTCGGTATGGACACCGACTTCCTCTTGAAAGATCTGATTCCTTGGAGGTCAAGCCATTCTACAACGCCGCCATGCGCTACATGAGGTCTCTTCACGCCTCTACGACTTCGCGGAACGAGGCATTTTGTTGATGGCCAGGAAATCGATCTGACCCCCACGAAGGATAAAGACTAACAGCAGCTCCTCTTGTAGGTCGTCGAGGAGCAAAGACGCAAGCATTCTGACATACGCAAGGCGATTGTAACTTCTAAGTAGGCAAGACTAGCCGACGAATGATGTGTACAAGTGTTGGCTGATTACGGATGATACCGCTTTCTCTTTTCATGGAGTTATGCAGTAAGTTATGCATACCTTCAAAAGAATTATGTGCCTCATATGTACCTATATATCTGAGCTTTAGGTGCTGAAACGTTTCGATAAAGTCTTGGCAGCGTCCAATGTCATTGTGAACATCAGAAATACACGTGGAAATTAAAATTTCGGCAAAATTGTGTTTTTCACAAAAATGTGAACTTTGACCTGGTTGAGCTACCACTAAATAAACATATTTTCCAAAAATATTTTACACACAACGTTTTCTCGGGTGGTAGAACAGATTGGCTGCCCGTCCCGTAGAAAATTCTCAAAACGAAATTTTAGCCTCGTTTTAGTGCCACCCTTTATACATACCTACACTGCATACATGTGATCAAACACTGTGACACGGGCGCCGTACACAGAACACTTAAACGCGGGCCGACATGGCCGGTGGAAGGGCTGATGGGCAGTGCCGGGTCACCCGGGCTGTCTTGAGTTGTTGTGCCTATTACTGTAGGGTTGTTCAGTCATTTGTGTTTCTTGTGTGACTTGTGGGGTGGTATGTATTAGTGGGTATTGCGTGTGATGGTTGTGAGGACGAGGATGACATGTCCTTGCGTTGCCGATGTTAGAGTGAGTTTGCGAAATCGGTGAATCCGCGGAGTCCCTAGGGAATCCACGGAGTCCCTAGTGGCTCCGCGGATGAGCATCAAGTCTAGTATATTCGCGGATAAACGGGCGGGGATCCGCGGATGAACAAGACTCTTCAGGATAACCGCGAACTCCCTGAAGAGTTGACGAGATCCGCGAACCACCCGGGGAATCCGCGGAGTAACGATTCATTCTAGTGAGTTTGCGAAGGTCCTTTGCGTTTCATGCAGCTATCTTATGACAAGAATCAAGAATGCAAGGGCATATTGGTTAGATCGTCTGAGACTTAACCCTATTCCTGGCGGGCTCCGCCGGGACAAGAAACTGGCGGGGGGGCCGATTCGGCCCCCCCCCCCCTGAGATCTCGAGAACGAAGCAAGATAGCGACAAACGGTAAACGGCATCGGATACGCACGGTCAAGATCTACAATTTTTACTAAGGTCATTTTCAGGTCAGGTCAAAGATGACGTCACAGGGGTCGAAAAAGTCAAAATGGCGGCGCTAGATATGGAGAGTTTTCTCGAATAACTTTCGAATTAGTCAAGATAGGAACAAACTAAGGGCATCATCGTGATCCTCTCGTCAATCCGCATCGAATGATATATATGTTGACCTCGCAAGGTCAAGGTCAAAGGTTGACCTCAGGTCACGTGACCTCGAGGTCATCATGTATATCATTCGATGCGTCTTGACGAGCTGAACACAATGAGACCATCCACGCGTCTGTATCTTGTTCCTGTACGGAGTTATTGGCCAAAAACCTTTGGTGACCTTTGATGACGTCACATGACCTCACAGCTGCCCAACAGCAAAACAGACCTCAAGGTAGTGAAGGTTGATCGTATATGAAGTCATGTATGGTATATGGGGCCATTCCGACCCGTTTTAGTGGTAAAAACAGGGAGTTGATTTTTCCCCCATTGACTTATAATGGGGAGGTCGCGAAACTAACCTGACCTTAGGTCACCGATATCAAAATTCCGAGATATACAAATTGCACATACTGGTACCCTAACTAAAGCCTGAAGAGAAGAAATTGATCGGTCAAAAACTCTAGCTCTGGCGTGATTGCAAACTTTTCTGAGGTAGGGTCACCAAACCGCCTCTGGTGACCTGACCTGAGGTCAGATCAACTCAAAATTTTCAGACATGTTGCGTAGAAGCCTTTTAGGAAAAGTCAGAAAATTTGAGCTTCCTAGCTCAACGCGTTTGGGAGAAATAACCAAAAAACCTCAGGGGGGGGGGGCTCCTGAGGCCCCCCCGCCAGGAATAGGGTTAACCCTCGCCCTTATTGGTGTTTTCCCAGTTGCTGTTGGAATTCGCGGAGTAGGTACCGATTCATTCTAGTGAGTTCACGAATTACTCTTTCCGCTTAGACGTCGCTCGCAAATATCAATATGCAATTAAATAATAGACGGCAGGCCATTTTTGGCGTGGTTGAACTTCTGCGACCAGTCTGCTTACTTTTCTCCCAACCATGAATGGAAAGCTGGAAAGGCATCTGAGAGTGTGTATGAATAACAGTAATGCTCACTCTTCCTCAGGGGCGGAGCTTCCTGTACAGTTGGTGGGGCAGTTGCCCCTCCCCCCAACTTGCCCTTTTGCCACAGCCGACCTGACCCGACCGGTCAGCACCGCGCCTACAGCCGCTCCAGCCCGGCGCCACAGTATATCTATTCTGGGGAACATTTGGACTGGAGGGGCAATGCTGAACTCCGATACAAGAACCCAACACGTACCTATCAACCCGCGCAAAAATATCAACTTTGAAATTTGAGCTAATTTGACCTGACCTTGACCTGACCTTCACCAGAGCATAACCTAAACTGGCCCCAAAGGCTGCCTTACCCACATAATCGCATTTGTCATGTAAAATGGACCATAAAACATACATCACATCATATTTTCATATTGTGACCCTCTGTGACCTGACCTGGCATCAGTGACCTCAAACTAGCAAAATATGTGTTTGAAGAACAATTCCCAATCGTTGATTTTCAGTGACATGCATTTTACTCGATTTTACAAGCACAACTTGTAAAATGAGTGAGCATTTCTTGAAATGCCTGTAAACGGTGAAAATTCGACATTTGACCTGACCTGTGACGTTATCGCTTTGACCTACTATGCATTTCAGACCCCATGAGACCCTAATTTTTGGCGATAATTTGTTCAATATTTGTCCAATTTGCTTCAAATTTTCACAATGCACATTTCAGCTCAAGCGCCAATTTTCGCCAATATGGTCTCTTAACAAAATATCAAATTTTAGGGTACTTGTCGTTGCCTCGTAATGTTAAAATCGGCTCCGTAAATCCGTCAGTGGAGTAGAGGCTATCCGTGCGTAGGTGTGACGTCACAAACACGTGACCATTAAGCTCCGCCCTCCCGGCGGACGGGGTAGTGACCTTGGCCGGTCAGTCGACTGCGTGGAGCGGGCGGGGCAGTAGCTGTCGCACCGGGGCGGCTCGCATGGACCGTAGCTGCCGTGCAGTTGGCGTTGCAGCCGTAATTTCATCGAATGAGCTAAATAGCGCGCATAAGTTGTTGATTTCAAATGATTGCGTAAGATTATGTACCTATCGCGTCAGACTACGTCAAAATTGCAAAACAGAATCACCATTAACATGATGCAATTTATGTGTTTGATATATGAAATTTGATTATGAATGTATGCCGGCGTGATCGATTTATATCATCCCGGTGCAACTAAGCATTGAAGACCTTCAGGAATAATCCATTTGATCATCGACTTAGGTTGAGGAGGTCGCCAGACTAACTTTGCCCCCAGAGCTTGTGTGTTGAAATGCAAACATGAAAAGTAAAAGCCTAGAGATAGTTTCCTCACCATTGAGGACATACCTACTGTTACTTAAGTTTTACAAAAAAGATACGAGTTTATTGATGATCGTTCTCGTGTGTAGTGCCCAATATCCGCCTGCCACATTGCTATTTCTTTTTGTGCACGACTTAACAATATAACACACACAAGATACCGCGATAAAGGCCATTTCTACCATACGACACATTACGCTTCTGCCCCACCCGGCGCCCCGCACCGCTTCACGAATCACGAATACGGTCGTTTCGCTGGAGCGATGCCCCAGGCAATCGGCCGTGCCCGAGACTCTTCATCCTACTTTGTTGCTTTCTGCGCCTTCCTCAGAAACATTTATTGGCACTGCCAAATATATCAATATTTTTGGGTTAAGCACAGGCTTACCCATGATCTTATAGGTAATCCGGTAGTGACCTGACCCAACCTGACGATGAGATAGGTGCAACTCCGGCTTAAATAAATTTTCAGAGTCCAAGAGTCTATCCCTCTTTCCTTCTACGGCCGGTTCCGTTCCAATAGATCCTACCTTGATTCTGATTATTCTGAATATTCTGAGCTGGTTCGATGTTTAACCCTCGCCCATGTAGGGGGGGGGGTTGGTGCAACCCCCCCCCTGAGGTTTTTCGGAAATAGTGCAAAAACGGCGGCGCGCAGCGCCGCCAAATTTTGGGTACCTTATGGGGCAAACCTTGCGCATCTTTTGATAAAAAAAATTTGACCGGGTCATGTCAGGTCACGGAGTTATGACGTCACAAAGGGAACAGCCTCCGGCCGGATTTTCACAAACTGAGTGCCAACGCCCGAGGTTTCCTGCCGGTGGTACGGACATCGGTTGATGGATCGTGATGAAACTTCCCATGCATGTTGGGGCAAGTATTGGCTATCATATGGTATAAGAAACTTGACCGGGTCAGGTCAGGTCACGGAGCTATGACGTCACAAGAGGAACAGCGTCCGGTACTATTTTTGAAAAGCGCCCGAACCACTATTTTGCTAATTCTTGTCACCTCAATGGGAATATGCAGCAATATTAGCTTCTATAGGGAGCAAATGGACCTCCCAAATCCAAAAATACAATCAGATTTCAAAAATTTAAATTTTGATTTTTCGAATTTCTGCCGCCGACTGTGACCTTGCCGACTTCCGGCGCTCCCAACGCGCCATTTTTAGAGCTAGGGAAACGAAATACATACCAAACGATAGAGAATTGATCAAGGAACACGATAGTGAAGGTTTCAAGTCGATATCTCCCACCGTTTTGCCGCAATCGCCGCGGAAAGTTGAAAAAGTCTATTTTTCCGAAAAATTTGACCTTTGACCGGTCAAAAGTAGGTCAAATGTTGACCTAGGACCAAAAAATATACCACCAATCGCGAGATCTCGGCGAGAGCAATCCGTTGGTCTTTTCCGCTAAGCTCTATGACGCTCCGTTTTCAAACGCCAGGGGGGGGGTCGCACCAACCCCCCCCCCCCCCTGCATGGGCGAAGGTGGCAGATCGCCGTTTACGGGCGAGGGTTAAATACCAAAATAAGGTGAAGAGGATACCAAATGCCCTCAAACAGATAATTTTTTTGGCTTTCGTCCCGAAACAACTTTGCCAGCTTCCACTTGTCTCCAGTATGTGGTCCCGCTCCGACCTCTCCGCGGTGCTGACACCGACTGAAGCGGCATAGACCCATCCCGGTCACGGCCAGTGGGCGGAGTTTAGTTGGGCCCGGCGCAACGTGATTGGCCAGCGCTCCTATCCAATCCAGTGCGGTAGCGAGCGAGCCTCTATCCGGGTGCAAAAACTGATTAACATTACGAGCCAACGACAAGTGCTCTAAATTTTGATATTTTGTTAAGAGACCATATTGACAAAAATTGGCGCTTGAGCTGAAATATCGTTTGCCAAAATTTCAAGCTAATTGGACAAAAATTGAAGAAATTATCGCCGAAAAGTAGGGTCTCATGGGGTCTGAAATGCATAGTAGGTCAATGAAATTGGGTCATTAGGTAGTTCCCCGCTGGGGCTATCCAACACAGTTTGCGGCTTGTCGCTATGTTACGTGGTTCTTGAGATCTTAGGGGGGAATGTCCCCCTCCCCCCAATAGGGCACGTTGCTCGGCAGACCCCAACGGGGCGCGGGTTAAGTCGCAGATGGTCTACCCAATATCCCATGCATTCTAGTCTAGATAGCTGTATGAAACGCATAGGAACTTCGCAAACTCACTAGAATGAATCGTTACTCCGCGGATTCCCCGGGTGGTTCGCAGATCTCGCCAACTCTTCAGGGAGTTCGCGGTTATCCTGAAGAGTCTTGTTCATCCGCGGATCCCCGCCCGTTTATCCGCGAATATACTAGACTTGATGTTCATCCGCGGAGCCACTAGGGACTTCGCGGATTCCCTAGGAAATCCGCGGATCCACAAATTTCGCAAACTCACTCTAACACCGATATGACACTGTTTCTGACACTCGTCGTGTGGCTGACCGTGTCCCGGCGGCCGCCAGGTTTGTTGTGGGACGGACCTGACATTGTCTGACCGTTTCCCTGGCCTGCGCAGGTCTGCAGTGTGAGTTGTTATTGTCTGACCGTGTACCGCCGCCAGGTCTGCACTGTGGTAGGGACCTGACATTATCTGACCGTGACCCGCCGCCGCCAGGTCTGCACTCTGCACTGTGGTAGGGACCTGACATTATCTGACCGTGTCCCCCGGCCGCCAGGTCTGCTGGAGGCGCGTGGGACGGAGGAGGGTGCCGCCGCCCGGCGTCTCTGCACATTCCCGCCGCCGCCGCCGCCGCTGCCGCACCGCGCGGCCCACCTACCACCAGCGTCAGTGCATGTGATACGATGGGCGTGTGCGAGCGCGCGCGCGCGTGGTGGTCTTTTGTATGGGTGACCGGCTGGACGGGACGGCGTCGCTCGCCGGACGGCGGCCACTGCGAGCGGTCGGCACCGGCGCTAGGCACGTGTTTTATTTTGTTAAGCATCTATCGGTTTTGTTAAGTTAAATGTAAAAATGGTATCTGATTGTATTTGTATTTTATGGCGGTGGCGCCGCGGCCAGCCGGCCGGTGCCGTCACCATGGACGCTGACCTTACTGAAGTCGTCGCTTACTCTGCCACCGACAAAATAGAGCACCGCAAAACACGGTCCGCGCGGACGAATCATGCAATGAAGACCAATACCCAAGAGCTAGTGTTTTAGAGCGAAATCGTTGGCGCGGAGATCCCTAGCGCGTGTGGTCACGAGGCAGCGGTCGTATTACTCTCCTCTCGGAAACTCGCTTCTCGTGGCTTCTTCCTCTGTGTGGTGTATTCATTGCATTACGGCGGGCGTCTCCGGTGTTGTGTGGGAGCCGTCCCCGCGCGGGAGGGTGCGGCCTGCGGAACTGCTCTGTCCTCGGCGCGGATCAACTAGGGCGCACCGGGCGGCGCCTGTTCGCGGCGGCGGCCGCCAGGGGCGCTGCAGTCGTCTGCCGACCGCTCACCCCCTGTAAGCGGCGGGACTGGCGTTACGCGCTGCGCTACTATATCGTAATGTACATAGCGACAAAATATACATACTATTCATGACTGATGTTTGGTGAACGCTTTGATGACGGCTCTTGAACGAGCTATTGTGGTATCGCCCAGAAGTAGACGGTGATTGGTCGAGAACGGTCACTGCTTTGAGCATCGCACTATTCTCGTGAGATTTGGACCTACCAGTGTGGAACTATCGCAGGGTTGTATCTGTGGGAGGGTTGTAACTTCTATCGCCAAGGATCGGGGCTATGACTTGAGATTTGCCATCGTACCATCCTGCTCATCACCAGCGCGTTCAAAGGGCGGGATCATGTGGTGTCAAAAACATTTGGTCCTCTGAGCTGAGATTTGTGTACAAATGTCAAGGAAACTTGGCTTACGCGAGTGCTGCATCGAGTGCTCAAAATTCGCAGTAACAACATTCGTGTAAGTGGCTAGACTGCGCGAAGGTGTCCTATCACTACGTTCTTCCCATTCCTCATCGGTCACGTTGACGGATGGGAAAGCCGTATAGTAATTGCGCCTAGCGTCGCCTTGTGGCCAGAAGTTGAACTTAACCTACATAGGCGCCAGGAGCGTCGTCTAAAAAGTGTCAAGTTGTGATGTCCTGACTCCTGACTCAGACTGCTGGTTTCATTTCGTGCTATAATTTGTTGAGGACTTTTAGCCTTTACGCCTCTGATCTGCGATACTTATTGGACTAATTCTCACAGTTCGAATCGTTTAGTTGATTTTCTAGGCACAGCTACGAATTTCTTATTCTGACAAGGCTTCCCTGTCCCTTTCAATGAACCTAAACCGTGAAGAATTTCGTTACTTCTTCATTTCCACATAACCTATTCCAACGTATCGATAGGTATAAGGTCAACCGATATGTTCCATGCGAAATGTCGCAATAAAGCGAGGAGGGGATAGACAAATGTTATTCCCTTCTCAATTCTCACTCATCCTCAACGTGAAAAACAACCTCCTTTATAGGCAAAGTTATATCGGGCCGGGAGGACGGCCCAGCCCGGCGCAGTGTTGTTGCCGCGTGAGGCCGTGGCTTCCATCCAGGAGGGTGGGATCTCCCTCCGGCCGCAGGGGGCGCTGGCTGCAGCTGCCATCGATCCGGTAGTGTCCGCCGGGTCACGGCCCCAGCCTCGGAGGCGCCGCACGGCATCGCAACAGCCCGGGATAGATACGCACTGGGCCAGCGAGCTGGGTGGACCTCAGAGAGGAGCCTTCTGAATAACCTCTGTTATTAATTATTACACCTGTGGAGTTCTTCACAGACCTAATAATGAGTGAGGGAGGATAAAGGCTTTTCATTAGTTCAGAAGAGTGCCGTTATTGCATCACTGACCTTATCACACAATGCACCACGATTACCTAACGCATTGATCGCCTGCGGCCTTTGTACCCAGACCAACCACGGCTGCTCAGTTCAATGACCATGACCTTGAGCAAGCTCTGCCTGTTGACGCTTACGTAACTGCGCATACATATGTATACACGGCACGCGCAGCGCTAACAGTTTGTTTACCTAAATCACCTTTGTGAGCATAAACTCGAGCCAGGGCGGCGGTTCCATCGTAACTCATCATGGCGGGGTGGGGCGTTTTTATAGCCCCCTCCCCTCAGACTCGGCCCCTGGACCACGTAGCCTCAAGAGGTAAGCGGCACTCGAATTGGAGCGTCTTACATTAAGCAGACAGTACGAAGGTCATTTTTGGATGACTTGACCTATAGACCTCGGTATACGGTATACATACAGGTATATATTGCTTCCGGTATCGTCCCCGTTCAAACTGACCGAAATGGCCTGAGATCGATTGGTCATTAGCTGCACCGACCGCCCAGAGCTGCAGGCACATCTCGGTGCGTGAGGCAGCGGCGGCAGTCATCTGACGGTAACGTGACCTCCACTGGCGGTCGCAGCCGCTAGCAAAAGGGGGGGCCAAAGTCACACTCGCGGGACATAACATTTATCCGTCACCGGGAGGGGGGGGGGGGGGTGATCGGCTAATTTTTTACGTCCACGAGGTGCCCCGCAGTTGGCATTACTTATGCTTCATCCATCTGATTCTTGCGTGAAATCTTTAAGCTCAATTTAAGGCAAAATCACCAGTTCCATTTCCCGTCCCACGGTGCTTCCACCGGTCGGCCCACTGCACCATGACGACGGATCGGTGTAGCATAGGTATACTGGAAGGTCAGGCACGCGGATTCATGACCTTACCACTATAAAACAATTCGGAAAAGTACAGATACCTCTTGCTTTGAACAAGCATGTGAAACCCAGAGAGCATTTTCAGACTATGACATTTACCCATATAGGCCACATACCTAGTTGTGTGGCGGCGGGAGAGAGTAGGTACACCGACCTCTGGAGACCCCCCACGGGTTCCGAGCTTTCAAAATTGGCATCTGCGGGCCGCGCGCGACTCCTGCGAGGCTTCGCAACGGCTCTATTGGGGCTCACTCAACCTGCCTAGTCTTACTGCTAAAAAGACTGGCCCTGAGCCCTAAGGACTTCATCAGTCTCTGCCAGCCCCAGGACCCACACCGGCTCATGGGGTCCCGACGTTGAAATATGAGGGAATCTGCGCGGGACCATCAGGACGTAAAGTAATCTCGATCAGGACCAACGTAAGGCTGTGCCGGAGACTGCGTGAGCCCTCTGATCTTCAGAAACCCACCCATGTATGTTTTCACGTAGAGGCCAGTTTAGGGCCCTCAGAGACCAGTACAGGGCCTGCAAACTACAAAGGCCAGTAGTTTGAGAGACAATCAGTGACCGAGTTGGGCTCTCAGAGGCTAATGTGGGTCATTACAGGCCAACATGGGCCCTCAGAGGTCAGCGTGGGGCCCTAAAAGACCGGCATGAGCCGTCGTTGGACCCCAGAGGCCAGCATAGGGCCCTCAAAGGCCAAGGTGGGCCCTCCTCAGAAGCCAATGCAGGCCCTTAGAGGCCGGCATCGGGTCTTCAGCAGCCAGTGCGGGGCCCTCATTGGCACCTAAAGGTTCGTCTTGGGACACCACAGACAGAAATAAGGCCACCAGAGACCGGTGTGAGACCCTCAGACGCCGGTTGGGACCCCTGAGGCCGGTTAGGGGCCCTCATAGGCCAGATATGGGGTCTCAGAGGTTGATGTAGGTTCTTAGCGGTCAGCGTGGGCGCTTGACCGCCACTGAAGTTCCCTCAGATGTCAGTGTAGGACGCTCAAAGACCGGTGGGAGCTATATTAATAGCTGGGCGTGGGTTTTTTGAGCCTCGTGACGATCGAATAATTGCCAGGGCCCCATACACCTATATGGGGGCCCATTGGTTGTTTGAGGGGGGGGGGGCAAATGATATGATGGCCCCCTTTATTGACCTTTGGGGGGGCATGGCATGGCCCTGATGCCCCCCCCCCCCCACCGCGACCACCACTGTGTACACAATACACAGGCCTCTGAGATTACATACTAGCTCATGCAAACTCTATGCAGGCCCCGGAGTTCCCACGCTAATCCTTAAGAAACCAAGCCGGCATACGGCATCACCACCGGGCTTCTGAGGTGCACAGCACCAACCCATGAGGTCTTACTTTAGTGTCTTAGAGCCAATCTCCTTTAGCAGGGCCCACCCACCACTGCCGAAGAGGATCTCATGCCAGCCATTGCTGGGCCTACGAGAGCCTCAAGTAAACCCACGCTGATATTCCATATAAGATCCGGCCATACTCGTGAACCGGTGCCAGCGACGCTGACCGCCAAATTGATAGAATGCGAAACTGAGCCCACTCATGAGTGAAATTTACGTCCTTTGATGGCGCAAGAAAGAAAATGAAACATACGAAAAGCTTTTCTAGGACTTTTGTTCGATCTGAAAGGTGGGGCCAAAAGATAGTATGGCCCCACCTTTCAGCACCAAAGGGGGGGCCATGGCCCCCGTGGCCCCCCCCCCCCTGGGACCGCCAGTGGTGACCTCCTAGCACACCAATCGATACAGAACGCTGCCGGACCCCCTCCCCCCCCCTGCAGGGTCGGCTCAGAGCCAGTCACTCAGCGGCCTCGTGCGTGCCGAGCTGGCTGGGGTCGGCGGCGGGGGGAGGGGGGCGGCAGACAGGGGATGCGCATTGCGACAACGCACTGAGCATGACGAGCAACGGCCACTGCCAGCTCCGCCCAGTGGCTGCACTGAGAGCCCGCTGAGAATAGAAACGGCAAACGGCACAGAGATTGGACCGGCTTAGGAGCCTTCTATGAAATATGAAGCCCCCGTGATGCCTGGATCCTTTGTAGAAATGTCCACTCAATCTCAACCAGTCATCCCGCGTCGCTATTCGGCCTGACATCGGCACGGAAGTTCGCCCGAGTGATGTCAGCGTATGACCTCGTGCTCTTGCCTCGTGGGTTATACTTGCATGGTGGCCGTCTGCCCGTACTTTGACTTGGTAGTCTACGTGACCCAAGAGCTGAGCTAAGAGGTTGGCAGGCACGTAGCCAGGATTTTGCTTAGGGAGCGGCCACCAGGTCGCGGCCTAGTGTCATTCCTAGTGTCGTACCCCCTCCAAAAAGGAACACTCCTCGGATTTGGCCCACTATTTTGGGGTGTGTGGTGCAGCTGGTTTTATTCATTTTTATTTTTATTTGATTCTATTTTATTTTTCGCCTTCAGGGGGTTCCCCATGGCCCCGTGTCCCCCCTTGGCTACGTCCCTGGAGGCTGGGAGGGGTGTGCCTTCTATAAAAAATAACTTAAAACGCCTTTCCCGTCTATATGTGTTAGATCGGATTATCAGATTAGTTGTGGATTATGGTCTTCCTCCTTTCTCCCAGGAGTCTGCCGTTGCCAAAATGCCCAACCAATGGCTTTCAAAAGCCATGAGCTCGTTGGAAAACTACCTTCCTCGTCAGTTCCCATAGCACTTTTCGAATTCACATTACGGAGTCCTCCGCTGACCCCACGTATCGGCTATCTGGAGTACAACTTAGCACCGTGAATGACCGTGCGATACCTGTGTGGTGGTCTACCTTCCAATTCCACCCGTCATCTGTCGGGAGCCGCGCCCCGGACCCATG